TACTGGAGGTAAAAAAATCACAGCATTTAGGACATCGTTTGTCCTACGCAAACACCGAGCGAATATGAACTCCTACCTGCTTTAAATGATCATGATGGGAAAGAATTTCACTTTGTAATGACGCAAGTCTCTATACCTAGTACTTGGGAGGCTGACGGAGGAGGACCAGGAATTCAGGATCATCTCCAAATACACAGGAAGCTGCAGGTTAAACATGCATACCTGGGATCCCACTTGAAAAATTCACAACGAAACAAGGAGAAGGAAGAAAGAGGAGACTGTGGATGAAGAAGAATAGGAGGAGCAAATATTGCGAGAGAAAGTAAGGAGGAAGAGGAAAGAGGAGGAAGAAAGAGAGGAAGTAAGAAGGAAGAGAAGAGAAAAGAGAGAAAGAAGAGCGTTGGTGGCACACGCCTTAATCCCAGCACTTGGGAGGCAGAGGCAGGCGGATCCCTGAGAGTTCGAGACCTGTCTTGTCTAGGACATCCTCCAAAGCTTAGAGAAACTTGTCTCAAAAAACAAAAAAGAGGAATGAAGAGGGGCAGGAATGTTGGTTCCTCCCTCCCCAAGTCGTTTGTTAGTGGATGAGGAGAAACTGATTCCCTTTGGTAAATTTGACAGTTCCCTTGGGGTGAGACTTGCTTTTTGCAAGGATTGTCTTATGTATGGAATGAACGAATGCATTTTGGGATTTGTCAGTTACTACAGAGAATTCGGTTTTTGTACACCGCCATACTATTTGCTTATATGCTGGATGATAAAATCGTTTTTTTTTAAAGTCATTTATTTATTTATTTATTTATTTATTTATTTATTAGGTACACAATGTTCTGCCTGCATGTTTGCCTGAAGGCCAGAAGAGGGCACCAGATCTCATTATAGATGATAGTGAGCCACCACGTGGTTGCTGGGAATTGAACTCAGGACCTCTGGAAGAGCAGTCAGTGCTCTTAAGCTCTGAGCCATCTCTCCAACCTGAAAATCAGGTTTTATCAGGGTGTATGTCTCACTGTGTAGACCAGGCTGGCTCAAACTCACTCACAGAGATTTCCACATGCCTCTGCCTCCCTAGCAGCTGGGATTAGAGGTGCTCGTATTTGTCCCTCCCTGGTTTAGGGCATTGATCCTTTAAATGCCACTTGCTAAGTCTTCACAAATGTAGCCAGGACACAGAGTAAGAAACAGAACACAGCCGGGGCAGGTGAAACACCCTCCACATCAGCACTGGGGAGGCTGAAGCAGAGGGATTGATGCAAACACAGGACCAGCCTGAGTTACAAACACAAACTGAGTTCGAACTCATCTGGGTGACAGAGTGAGACTCTGTCCTGAGATAGAGAAAGGGATGGGGAGAAGGGATGAAGAGCGAAAGGGAGACAAGGGGGAGAAAAGGAGAGAGGAAGGGAGGAAAAGAAAGAACAAGGAGTGTAGAAAGATGGCTTAAAGGGTAGAGACACTTACTATAGCACCCTACGATCTGAGTTCAAGCCCCAGGACCCCATGGTGTGATAAGAGAATGAACGCCTGTAAGCTGTCCTCTACCTGAACATACATGGCCCCTTCAGAAAATAAGCAAATAAGTAAATATAGTAGCCAGGAGGTGGTGGCGCTCACCTTTAATCCCGGCACTCGGGAGGCAGAAGCAGGCAGATCTCTGTGAGTTCGAGGTCAGCCTGGTTTACAGAGCGAATTCCAGGACAGGTAGGGCTGTTATACAGAGAAACCCTGTCTCAAAAACAAACAAACAAAAATGATAGATAGATAGATAGACAGACAGACAGATAGAATTTTTAAAATGAAGGAGAGAGCCGGGCATTGGTGATGCTCGCCTTTAATCCCAGCACTCGGGAGGCAGAGGCAGGCAGATCTCTGTGAGTTCGAGGTCAGCCTGGTCTACAGAGCAAGTGCCAGGACAGGCTCCAAAGCCACAGAGAAACCCTGTCTCGAAAAACCAAAACGAAACAAAAGAGGGAGAGAGAGCTGGAGAGCCAGCTCGGCAGTCATGAGCTGTTGTGGCTCTTGCAGAAGACCCTCATTTGAGTCCCAGCATCTATGTTTCATGACTCACAACCACTGATAGACTAGCTCCAGGAGATCTAACACCCTAGTCTGGGCTCTGTAGGCACCTGCAGTCTCATGCACCCAACACCTGCACTCTCATGCGCAAAGCCCCCAGAAATACAAAGACACATAATTAAAAATAAAAAATAATCATTTTTAAAAAGCACGAGAAGAAAGAAAAAGGAAGGAAGGAAGCAACACCCACAAGGTGCTGCTCTGGGAAGACAGTGCCATCTTCTGTAAAAGAACCACACTAGAAAGAACTAGAGATCTGCGCAGAGATGGGTT